AGAAGAGGATTTTAACTGTTGATTCAGTTATATACCAATTAGTGCTGTCCATGCAGTGTTTTCATAATATTCTCTGTTTGTAAAATTAATCTTGAGCAAAGAAATATTTCAGTTTGATTCATAACTGTTGACTTTTAAAGTTTGTTATTTAATACATAAAATACTAATGCTAATATCGTATTAATCAAAGCTATTAATAAATCCCTTTTTGAATTTTATTGAATCCTACTATGTTCCAAAAAGAAAGGAATTCTTTTTTCATTGGATCTGATTTCAAAAGAATGGTAAAAAAGTAAAGAGCAAATAAACCCAATTTGAATATAAAGAAAGGCTTGTAGATTAGGCCTATAAATTGTTAGATTAGCTGTTTTTCCATAGTTCAGTCCCCCAGATGGTGTGTGTTTGGTTCATGAAGGTGCAATGTGACACGCAGAGCTGCAGACACTTCATTCAGTGTCACAGCAGTTTGCTTCACCCAAAGATGACTCATTGTCCCACTGAGTGTAATCACATCAGAGACACCAAAGAGACAGGTCCTCCCACCATAACCCGCCTTTATTCTCGTCTTCCTCCAGAGATTAGGTTTTCTTCTATCTCAGCGTTTTATGAACTCACAACTGCTCTCATTCCCAGTTGTGAAGATACCATTTGCTTATATAATCTTTTGGAAAATTTAACTCCCATCTTTTATTCCTGTGTCTTATAAAATGTACCCAAACGGATAGATTTGTTTACCATACAGTTGTACTGCAATCAAACCAGGGAGCCACTGCAGCTGGAAAGGTGGGATGCAGGCATGGCTATCAATAATCCAGCGTAATGTCTCCCTTTGGTTAGACCATCGATTGTTCATGATGCTATTTCTGTCCTTTAGCTGGTGTCTTATTATAGCTTTGCAGACTAATGATTCATTGCAGAGCAGAAAGAGCAAAATCCTCAGTGTTTTCATGTTGCAGGCCCGTCTTCATATTGTCAGCTTTGAAACATACAGCAGAGAGAAAATGAGTGGATGAGAAAAAGAAGCAGCCCAGTTATATTTGTTAGAAAATGAAATAATCAGCTGGTTTAAGACCACTGATAAGCTTTGAGCAGTGCGGCACTGCAGCAGGAGTCACATACTGAAGAGGGGATTAGTGCCTGTCTGTGTCATGGACCACCAAACCTTTTATGGAGTGGGACCACACACTAACAAGCTCCAACAGGAGATTTTATTAGATGAAAGTGATGGTTGGTGCAAACTTTAAATATTGTTAAAGTTCCATTAAATGTCATTTTATTATACTAACACTAAAAAGATATGCTTAACATGCTTTATTTGATAGCAAATTGAAGATTTCAAAAATTGCTTTTCCGCTACATTCTTTTTAAATAGACTTACCTCACTTCTTAAGTTTTTTTCATTACACTTTGTTGTTTTGTTCTTTCTTTGTGTCTACTTAGCTGAAATTCTAGGGGAGCCCAATCAACCCAAAATTTTGCACGACACAAAGTCAGTTCAAATTCTATTTTTTTTTGCAGCATCAGCAGCGACTGTGCATATCTCACTCTTTAAGGATAATAATAACACTGAAATAAACGCCACAGACCAACAAACACAGTAACAATACTTTTTAAAATGCACATTTCTTTATATTATTTTAAAGTTGAGATATTATTGAGACAGTATTTTAAAGGCTGGTGCCAATAACGATTGTTTGATATGAGTTTAACTGATATTTGATGCTCATTCTTTAGACTGATATTGCTTTCTGTATCTGTATCTAAATTATTCAAAATTAAACAATATCAAATGTTACACATGTCTCAGTTTGAACAGAAACATTTATTAACAGATCAAAGCAAACGTTAACATGGACAGCAAATCGAGGGAGCATAAATGCTTAAGCTTAATGTGACATCGAGGCAGGGCTGCTGAACGCACCTATTAATCAGAGAACCAATGCACACATCGGTAGATACAAGAAAAAAAAAATTGAATTTAAATTCTCAAAGTGCAACAAAACGGGCATAAAAATTTTAAAAATAAGGGGCAAGCAGGGAAATCTTGTGTTTCCAATTGAGGTCAGCTTTGTTTTAGAAGTGTGAAGATGAAAAGAGTCAGTGCACAAATAGAGCACCTTGTGAGCACACCCCAATGAATGCAGTGGTGAGAAAGGAGACAGATTTCTATTTAATTTAGGCCAAGATTGGAGGCTGGTAGAAAGATTTGATAATTAATGATCTATCTGCACTGTATTAGATAGAGCGTGATTTTATCATTTTTTTAAAATTAGAAATGCCAAACAGCAGGAAACTGCAGTAGTCCAGTCCAGAAGAGATTAGGGCATTTTTCACATTTTGCAGCATCTGACTGGGTCAGGGATGGGTGAAGGTTTGCAAGATTGCAATGATGTTTTAACCCTAAACCTTCTGTTTTTTTTTAAGAAAATCTGTTGTTTTATGAGGATGTACACAAAGACTGATGACAGAAGAGAAGACTGTAACATCCTGACCACAAATGTTATGGACTTTATAGAGGAAGACAGAAGCTTATTGGAAGTGACAGCCAGGATAGGTTCTGTTTTTTTAGCTATTAGGTTAAAGGAAATTTGGGCTCATCCATGTAGCCATTTCCTCCAAGCAGATGGTAAATACAAATAGTTATGATCATAGTGAGGTGGATGCTATGATAAAAGATTGATGGATTAGGTTTCTATATATAGTTCTGTACAGAGGTGTCAAGTAACAAAGTACAAATACTTCGTTACTGTACTTAAGTACACTTTTTAGGTATCTATACTACTCTATTACTTATTTTTCTTCCTACTTCTGACTTCTACTCATTACATTTCACACAAGTATCTGTACTTTCTATTCCTTAAATTTTTAAAACAAATGTTACTCATCACTCTTGGCTTCGGTTTAATGTTTATTTATTAATATAATATTTATTTCACGTCATGTGCGCCATCCAATGCAGATCATTGGCGCCATCCACATCTAGTGAAAACTAGTGTAATTGGAAGGAAATTATCAGAAGCAAACAGGTGTTCTTAAAACTGCAAACGTGAATTGGCTATGCTATGCTACAATGTTGGATTCAGAAAAAGATGTTGAAAAGTCTGAAAGGTCAAACACAGGCGAGAGCGGGAGACGGAGATCAACAAGACCTCCCTCATCCTTGGCCCTACCTCAAAGAATTTTTCGAAATAGTCGGAAAATTGAGATTTCAATTCATATAGTGGCATCTGGCTGTTTTTTTTTTATACTTTTATACTTTAAGTAGTTTTTGGAGCACATACTTTTTCACTTTTACTTGAGTAAAGAGGTCAAATTGATAATTGATACAAATTGATAACTTTTACCAGAGTGTTTTTAAACTGCAGTATCTATACTTCTACTTAAATAACAAATGTGTGTACTTTTGAAACCACTGCTTCTGTGTCGCCTGCATAGTACACTATTCCAATGTGGGTGAAAAATCTAGAACTGGTTTGGATTATATCTTAGAAGTGTTATGTCCTTGTCTCTTGGTTTTTTGAAGATTCCGATATGCTTGGTGATGTATTTGAAAAAGCTTCCTGGATGGAAGCAAAACATCTTTAAACTTGGAAACAAATTCCAGTGGATTTTTTTTTTTTATTCTTTAGTATGGCTATGACCTGGATGACTGAGAATCTTCACCAGCATATTGTTGATGTAGATGAGACCCGCAGCTGTAAACTTTTGGTCAAGAGCGCATCCAGATATCTTTACTCTCTGTTATACCATCATAGCAATGCGAGCAGCTCACAGTCCTTGTTCCTTGTTTTGAAAGGGATGTGAGGGTGGAGCTGTGTAAAACTAATGTTCTAATGCTGAAAGAAAACATGGTACTATGGTTATTATGACCACTCTTATATTATATTACATTGGTATAGAAGTTGTAAAAAAAAAAAAATTAAATAAAAATCAACTGAGGTTGAAATTCTGGCTTGAGAAGTTTGAGGGCTCTGTGAAGCCACAGGTTGAAAATCAATATGGCTGCCACTTGCCCTCCTTAAAAGCACTTTGGTTAACATTGATGGTTTTAAGCCTGCTATATAAATAAAAATGACACTAACAATGAAATGTAGTGTTAAAAATGTTGGAGGACTAGACAGTTTATATAACCTTCTGACTGTTTGTATTTAAATAAACCAGTGGCAGTGTATATTTTTTTGCAAACTTATTCATTTTCAGATTGAATGCATGAAGCAGATATACATATGTTGCTAGTTTGAATTGTGTAGAGTGTTTAGCACCAAAACAGTTATAAAAAAAAATAAAATCCCAGTTTTCTGACTTGAAACCAGAATGCTCACAACCTCGGATGGAACAACATTCAATATTCCATCTCCCACTTTGGACCTAAATTGAAGCCAACCTCAGCTTTTATTCACAGAGTCTCCTCTGCTTCCTGCTCTTTATTGTTTTCTAATGTTTTAACTTGATTGGTTTAGTGGGAAATTTGAGGATATATTGACTTCTTGATGCAGCCTATGGTTCTGTAACAACTTCCATTAAAACCCTATTCGATCTCAGCAAAATTCTCTCTGCAAGAATTGCACATATTTTCTAAATTTTATAAGATGATTATTCTAAACTGATTAAAGCAGATGATAAGGATCATAAATGTAAATTATGCTTTCCTTTGAGATTTAATGTACTTTACAGTAAGTTGTACACTGGAAATGTCTTTATCAATACTCTTTTACTGCTTCTTTTCAAAACCTTGCTCTCCTATTTGTCCTTTGCTGATCAAGGCACTCTATATTTAGGTTGCCTCTAGAGAGTCTGTCTGGCCAAAAAGTCTGAGTTACATAGTATGTCGCACTCAGGTTTTTTTTTTTTTTTTTTTTTTTTATATATACCCTGACAGATTTTGAGCAGATGGTTTTTCAAATCTAGCTCATATTCAGATCCAACCTGGATGACAACTAACATAGCAGTGTCATAAAAACAGAGCTCAATAGTAATGTTTATCTTTCTATCTCATGCAGTGGCTCATACCCAGGACACACACCACCACTCCACAGAGAAGCCCCTCATTCAATGCTACAAGTGCGGGCAGCCATGTAAGGGCGAGGTCCTCCGGGTGCAGAACAAGCACTTTCACCTCAAGTGTTTCACCTGCAAAGGTACAGACTACTTTGCAACAAGAAATGATCACATGGTCATCAACTGATAATCCATCATTTTATGTAACTCTAAGATTGTCTTGATCATTCTTTAAAACCTATAAACCCTAATAACTGATATTTAAGAGACGAAAGGCAGGAGTTCTGTGAACATTTTTGCTTACTTGCTAATTTTATTCTACAAAATTGGTGTAAGTAGACCTAGGCTTCTTTTCATGCAGTGCTAGTTTTATACAGCAGTCGTGTAATTCATTTATCAAAGGATTTTCTCCATATAGCATTCCTTTATTCCTTTATTGTCTACTTTGATGTAAGTTTTGGTATTTGATCAGACAGCAACACTGATAACACTGTTAATAAACACTTGTTCTAGTCTCTAGCTGAATCAAGTCAGTCTTAAGTTATCTGTAGCCTCTAAGAGATTTTCTTCCAGGATTTCAGTTTTTCGCTCTATCCATTGTCCATTTGAGACTGACAAGCTTTCCTTTCCTTGATGGAAAACAACATTCCCATAATGCTTCCACCACCATGTTTTACAGTAGGGTTAGGGGGCTCAATGTTCATTTTCTGACTTTGCTTGTAGCTTAAAAAGTTACATCCTGGTGTTCTCTTCCACTACACCTTATTAGTGTCCCCTAGGTCCTTCAGGTCAGGTGTCTTGCAGCTTTTAGGTATGTCTTTGCTTCTGATGTCTATATAGATTTGCAGTTTTTTTCAAAACTCATGTTATTTTCAGATGATGGATTAAACCCACATAGTGTTTTAGAGCCTAACGTTTCTCAAGAATCTTATTTCCAGACTTTCTGTTTTGTTTCTTGCTGTTGTAATATTGCTTTATCCTTAAATTTACCTAACAAACCTCTGAGGGGTTGATTTAGAAGTTGTTATTTAGTTATGTATACAATAACTAAATAACAGACAAAGGGACTTAATTTTATAATTAGGTGATCTTTGAATGCATTTTATTAGGGATGAAACAATTAATTAGATTAGAATAGAATAGAATTCAACTTTACTGTCATTCCACTGTCACAAGTACAGAGCAACGAAATGAATTCTTTGCATTTAACCCATCCCCTTGGGGAGCAGTGGGCTGCCATTGTGCGCCACCCGGGGAGCACAATTAATTGTGATTAATCGATTATTGAAATTATCGCCAACTAATTTAGTAAGCGATTAATCGTTAACTGGAGTGTACAGGGTGAACCACCTTGACCAACAATTATATCAAAATTATATCAAAATAATAATAATTGCTTTAATTTCGCAAAAAGTTTTCTTTAAGGAATCTTTTGCTGTCCGATAATTAATCAGTTAACGATAAAATAATCGACGGATTAATCAATTTGCTAAATAATCATTAGTTGCAGTCCTGCACTTAATTGCACAAGCATTTATCTAAGGATATCAAAGGTTGCTTAATACACGTTTAAAGCTGATACATCAGAAAATGGGGAAAAAATATCAAGTAGAATGAATATCTGTGCAAAGCCCTGCAAATCCTAACTCAAACAGTGAGGTTAAATTAGTTCTCCTCACTTTTCAAATCTAATTAAAATTCCATCCAGAAATTTCTCCAACCTTTAAACATAATTATACATATGGGTTAGGCCCTGTTACTGCACGTCTTTGGCATGCTGGCACATGTACCAAGCAGCCTCCAACTGACAGTCTACAGTAGCAGCCTTTCTTGACCTCAATTTTCCCATGAACCTTTGTTGTTAATCTGTGACTTAAACACTGATATAGATTTAGCTTAGCTCACCAAAGGCTCAAAATAATGCAATACTGAGATTAGCTCTAAGTTAGTATTTTCAAAATGGTTAGTGATTCTAAAAGAGGACCAAGAACAGCTTTAATGGTAATGACTCGGTCCTTGTTTGAACTTTATCCTCTGTTGCCCAACAACTCTACAGGATAAAGCTGATGCTGTGCCTTTTCACACACAAGCCAAACATCTTTGGATTCTTTAAATGCAGAAATTGAATTTTGCCCAGAGAAAGTTGAATTTCAATTACCCATCTTATTGAATTCACTTTTTCTCCAATGGTATCAGACTGATAAATGGTAAGGGAGGCCACCACATTTCTAGTGCTGTTTTCTTTTGGCTCTCTCAGGGGCTAATCTCATCATCTCTGGGCTAATGCAGTTAAAGATAATTCTTTCCCTCACTGTCTCTATTCATCCTCAGGATTTAGCGTTGGCCCATTACATAAGAATGACTTTTAACATCTACTCCATAAAGTTATTCTAATTATAGGCCTATAGGTTAATAGCACAGGACAAGTGCTTATCAATTATGATTCAAAACAAAAATATACAAGCATGTGTTCAGTTTTGTGCATGTTGGATTTACATGCAAATTAAATTATCACAGACATACGAATGGATCAAATATTTTTACAAACAGTAAGCCCTCTCAGCTCAATACTTTATAAATCTAACTTCACATCACTTTTCTCAAACTTGTCATCATTAAATGGTTTTTCAGGCTTTCTCAGTCTTTCACGTTTCTGCAGACTACAGGGTTGTCTTTGAATTGAAGGAAACTTGATATTTAATTAAGTAGTGTGTTTTTTTTCCAAAGATGATTTAATTTCTTTTGTTTTTCCATCCACTACAACACATAAAGCTGTTAAATTTTCTGTGACCTTTTAGTCAGCAACTATTTAATTCGCTGGGTGAGCTTCTCAACAAAGCCAGCTAGCGTTGACGAGTTGGGTGGCTTTATGTGAATTATCGGCAAAGGTCTAAATGAGAACAAATGTATGTTTCATGTGCAGTGTGTGGTTGTGACCTCGCCCAAGGGGGCTTCTTCATGAAGAATGGGGATTATTTGTGCATGCTTGACTACCAGCGCATGCACGGCACCCGCTGCAATGGGTGCGGGGACTTCGTTGAGGGAGAAGTTGTCACTGCCCTGGGAAAGACCTACCATCCTGCCTGCTTCGTCTGCACAATCTGCAAGTAAGGTCTACTGAAGTCATGCCACATATATCTATGCTCATTTCTGAAATATTTCAGATAACTTTTAGTTCAGGGGGAAACACATTATGCAAGAAGAGATGTGTAGTGATGACAAGGCTTGTGGGAATTCCAGTTGACAACGTACAGTAGCATGCCATGTGTCACTCTACGTTGTCTGACCGACTGTCCTCCTCAGGCACACACATGTTGACACACATCTTCATCAGGGAAGCCTGTCATCCTCAGCCCTGCAAACCATTACTAATAAACTGTTACGCTTGCCACTGGGCAACAACATCATGATGTTTCATTGACTTCATGTCTAACAGACGACCGTTCCCGGCTGGAGACAGGGTGACCTTCAACGGGAAGGACTGCCTCTGTCAGTACTGTGCTGAACCCATGTCCCCAGGGCCGAAGGACATCCTGGGCTCCAGCAGTAAGTACCTATTGTTTTGTAAAAAGAATACCAGAAGGAATTTATCATTGCAAAAGCTTAAGACTCGGGTTATTCAACAATAGAACGTATGCAGTAATTATTGTGATGATCCATTCAATCTAACTGTTGACCATCATTTTAACTGTGATAATCCTTTTCGGGTTCTGTTTTTTCCCAAGTGTTTTCTTTTTTTTTTTTTTTTTTCCCAAGTGTTTTCTACAAACTACCCTTGTATTTTATTGTAATAGTAGTGCATCATTGTAAAGTAGGAAAAGGGGATCTGGGGCTTCCCAAATGTGAACAAATATATATATATATAAAAAAAAAAAAATTGTTTTGCATTTTATAAGATCCCCCTGAGTCTGGATCTTATCATAGGGCTTCCTTGCACTACATTCACAGTTGCAGGATAAGGCATTCTTCTCAACTTTAATCAGACTGGACAGTGAGTGTTTGTGATTGGAGGTTTTTAAATGTTGCTACAGACTCTCAGTTGGATTAGATATGCTATCAACCTTCTGTGTCCTTACTTAACAAGAAATACACCAAAGAATGATGCAGCCACTTCCAAGTTTCCCAGTGGGGATAATATTTGTTGTTTAGGGGAGTGGTGGCCTAGTGGTTAGGGCATTACACTTGCGTTCAGTTTCAGTTTCCCCTACACCTTGTGTTTTTCATGCAGGGCAAAAGGTTTCAATGTGCGCTTTTCTTATTAGAGCACCTTCTTCCACATGGTTGCTGTGATTTTCTTTTAAAATAAAAAGTCAGACTTTGGGAGAATATAGATGTCTAACCTAACTATAGGTTCAATTAAACACCCTTACTGATTTGGTGATTTCTCTGAGAGAAGAAGGTTGCACTAGATTATATCTTGGGGTATCAACGTTAAGGAGGCTGAATGCAAATTCAAACCACATAAAGCTTGGTTTCTTTGCCCAATATTCTCCAAAATACCTTAAGCTTGGTCAGACTGGATCAGAACCTGTATATGCCGTAACCTTTGTTCTTATGTATACATTACTTTATTTAGATTTGTTTAGGGAACCTCTGCAAAAAACAGGCCAGACTTTGTACCTAAAGCGGGAGAGATTTTTGGAACAGTGTCAAGGGAAATTGTATTTTTGGGGCAATGTATGAATACGGGGCGGTAAAATGATTAAAATATCTAATCAGGATTAACAGCAGTACTTCATGCGGTTAAAAGGGATTAGCTGGCGTTCATTCATATATTAAAAAAGATTTGTGAAAAATTAAGGAGAATGTCCACGAGAATTTCATCAAATTACTCATAATCTCCAATTGGATGTCAAGATGTTTTTAGAATAATTAGGACCCATCTGATGAGATTCACTGCTTTCAAATACTTACTCCAGACTTGATTAAAAACTATTTTCATTTATTTTATGCATTAAAATGTTCAAATGCAAACACAACTTTCATGACCTATTTGCACAGTAGTCAAATTCAACAAAAAGTAGGGTTGGTTGGGGAACCTGACTGTTTTAATTTAGAGGGGAAAATGAAGTTATTTTTCCCAAACTAGAGGAGGACTAACCTTTAAATGCAAAGCAAATGCCTCTCATTCCTTCCTGAGAGAGCCACTGTTCCCTAACTGTCTGAGATACTGCAGATGTATTCCAGGCGTTTCCTGTTGCTGCTACATGCACGCCACCGTTTGATTAAATTGGACAGTTTCAGGAAGTGGATCTGAGAGAGCTAAGAGCTATTGTTAAGTATGTCTTAAAAAAAACAGCCAAAGTTGTTACACAATTTATGAAAACACCCCCTGAACATGTATAATTGAGTTAAACATAGATTATGCACAAATCCTAAAACTAATTGAAAATGGCCTCACTCTATCCACAAAAAACAATTATAGGCATTTATTCAGACAAGAACAAATTCACTCATTTAAATGTAAACAGATGTAAAGGCATATTTTCCAATCTACATAAGTTTCCAGTAAGTCTCTTGTAGCCTTGTTAAGCTGAAAGAATGAAAGGAATGACCAAGGTCCACCTTTTGAGGGAGATCCTGCAACTGTTTCTCCTCTGATTCATAAGCAGAGCTTCTCTTTGTGTATAACACGAAGACAGGCCGTGCTAAATAATTCATAGCCATGCATTTCCTTCCCTCTGGAACAGGGAGAGTGTTGCCCTGAAATACCCCTCCTTTTCCAGATTCTCATCCTTTCCCTCCTGCTTTGCTCTCCCACCCCTGCTGGTCTCTGCTTGCGTTTGAAGAGCTTTTAGACAAGGTCACCTATAAATAAGGCATGCTGATTCTACTCGCGTCATCATCATCATAGCCTTGTTATGCTTTGCAAAGTTTCTCTCCTCTGTGATTGCAGTTGGCTCTCGGTTGCTCTCGGATTCTATTTTATTAAAGAAGAGATGAAACCAACTTTTTGCTCTTGCACTGTCTCAGAATCCTGTTTGGATATGGATGAGCTTTTTAGTTCTTAGTGATTATTTGAAGGAGAAGCTGTCAGACTCAGTCTGAGTGGAAGCTTTGCACTCTATCACCATGTACCGTTATGGGGCCAGAATCGATATGATTTATTGAATTTTATTTAGATCATGGAGGGCTGTTTGCACTTCAATGCAAACTTTTCAGGTGAAATTGAACAAATAGCCCTCTGGGACAGAAAAATCTCAGGTGTTTGGAGGATCACAAATATATTATTTAGGGACTCTCTCTCTCTCGATATATATATATATATATATACACACAAATAATTTTGGCTTTTATCCAGCAAAACCACCTTCTGCATCATAAAAATTAGAATATCACATCAAAATAAGTAAAGTAAACTTTTCACAGATCAGCAACCAAGCATAAAAAATTTAATTTTAGTGGATGAAAAGGTTAAACAACATCCTAAACAGAAGCAGGTCTATGTGCTATACACTATAGTTATTCTTAGGTAGATTGTTGCCTTAGTGCAGTGCGGCATAGAGGTGATCACCCTGTGGCTCTACTGAGGTGTTAAGGAAGCCAGGTTTGCTTTAAAATCAACCTTAGCCTAGTCTGCATTATTGGTTGGAGTTATTTTTCTTTATCTTCCTCTGACAATACTTCATAGATTGTGTGGAGGGTTTAGATCATCTCTTTGAAGGGAAGTGGTGGCCTAGTGGTTAGGGCATAGAGCCACCACTCTGGGTCCCTGAGCAAGACCCTTAAACCCCACACTGCTCCCCGGATGCCCCATGATGGCAGCCCACTGCTCCCCAAGGGGATGGGTTAAATGCAGAGGTAAATTTCTCCAATGTGAGATCAGTAAAGTTCAATTATATTAATTATTTTGGCAAGCACAGAGATGCCATAGTCACCAGTCCACCATTTATATACAGTATCTGAGTCAAAGTTCATATAAAAGCAAAAATGTCTTTAATCTTAGCTGGATGTTACCTGGTTGAATAAAGGTCAAACAAGATTATACACTACAAGAATCTTAATAATTATAGAACATTTTAGGAATTTAATGAAGTGTACACAACATTTGAATTCCTGGAGATTGTAAAATTAAATACATATGTTTTTTTTTCTTCATACCATCTTCTTTAACTGCATTGTAAAATATGTGTTTTTTAAAAACATATTGGGTCACTTTAGGTCTCTTTAGGTTTCTCAAAGTGGATCTAACCTCCTTGTTAAGCTAGTTTTGCTAGACATGCTAAGCATTTGTTTTTACCACTAGTGTTTGTTTCCTACCTGCTACCCAACATTATATTACAGCGATTTAAAGCCAGTTCTTTCTTCATTTTATCCTCCTCCTCTCTCAACATTTCCTCTGGACTGTCTCTCCTGCTCTGAGCTATTTATTTAAAAAACCTCAACCTGTCCTATGCCTTAGTGACCAGGAGTAGAGGACAAGGGGTGTGTCTGCTTATTTCTAATTGCTCAGACTGTGAAATTAAGTGTAAACCATAAAAACACATCAGGTATGGAACCACTAAGCAAACCAGCAGGTAGGGGAACTTTCCTGCCTCTTCCACTGGCCAGTCTGTCCTTGGCTTTAGTGCATGCATCCCCAAACTTGGTCCTCGAGGCCCGCTGTCCTGCAGGTTTTATAGGTTTCCTTGCTCCAGCACAGCGGATTTTAATTGAAAGCTGATTAACAGGCTTTTGGTCTACTGCAATCATTATAATCTGCTGTGCTAAAGCTGGGAAACCTCTAAAACCTGCAGGACAGCGGGCCTCGAGGACCAAGTTTGGGGATGCCTGCTTTAGTGACCTGTTATAGCTAACCACACTTTGCAGCACATCTGTTAGTTAGCAATCTACTTTGTGATTGGGCCTAAAATTGTATTTATGTATAAATAGTATTTTTTTGCGTAATATCCCAACTTCTTATAAACTAAATTATGAGACTTTATTGGGTGTTGGCCATAAACATAAAACAAATGACACATGATGTGCGATCAATGTACGGTATGTCATATTCTGGTTTCACATTTAAAATTTGATTTTTACAAATATTAACCCTTTTTAATGACATTCTTTATTATTAAAGTACACCTTTACTCTCTCTGCTGTCATAGGTTGCTCAGGATGTGGCCGGGACATTAAGAATGGACAGGCACTGCTGGCGCTGGACAGACAGTGGCATCTGGGCTGCTTTAAGTGTAAGGCTTGTGGAAAAGTGCTGACCGGGGAGTACATCAGCAAGTAAGCAGCTGCTCTATCAACACGACTCCTGGTCGGATCCAGCCGTGCATTATGGGAGTATGTCTGGGCCCTGGATATAGATTTACTTTTCTTCTTTTTAAAGGGATGGCGCCCCCTACTGTGAGAAGGACTACCAGATCCATTTTGGAGTTCAGTGTGAGGCGTGTCATCAGTTCATTACAGGGAAGGTGTTAGAGGTAAGAATCAGCACACAAAGCACATCTTGCACTTGCATGCAGCTGTTACACTTCACACATAAGGAAGATGAGTTCATTTGCACCCTCTGTGAAGCCTTCTGTCACTTCTTCAGGAACTAATTATTGACCACACCTAAGTCCTTTATAAATCCTGCCTAAGGTAAGTAAAAAAAAGGAACTAATTTAAACTGGATTAAATTATCAGGAAGATAACTTCTTAAAAATACACTCAAAATATAATTAATCTTAAAAGTACATGATGGTGTTTAGAATATGTTTATTTGCATGTTTTGCATGGAAACAGATGGTGAATTTGCCCTTATTAAGCTGTCCTGCTTTCAGCAGAAACATAAAATGATGCACAGAGCAGAATTGTGAAGTGTAGTTTGTAATCCCTGGTGTGTAATCTCTTCAGCACCAAGCCAAACAGACTCTCAACATGACTTTATGGCTGTAAAATATTAATTCTTTACAGATTTTCTAGCTCCTATGGCATGCACTATAAGCCATTTCATAGCCACAAATTGCATAATTATTATATAACTAATGTCATTTGACCTTTGGGATGTGATTATTTAATAATTCTGTATGTTGTGTGACTCTTCTCTGGGCTTAATCTTTATATGGTGTGTTTGTGTAAAATGTTAACAGCAATTTAGGCAATGATGATCTGTCTGCGCAGCAAATGCAAACCAGTGGAGGCAATGATACAGGAGTCTGTGTGACGTTAATCACAAATGTAGTCTGTTGCATTTGCAGTTAATTCAGCAATATTCAGTGGAATCATGAAGCCGTCAGACACTAAAATGCAAAAACTCCTGTAAACACCATAAATTGTTTATTTTATGCTTTGAAGGGAATTTTGGCCTACTACATGTACTGGAATATAGGCACACAATTGTTTGAACTTATTCATGCAGTAAAATGTAAATGGTATGCATATCTCTAAGTGGCCACTTGCAGGTTAAAATGTTGCACAGGGTTGTTATCGCGCAGGCTCCATTTCATTTGGCTATTTATCATCTGCGGTCAAACCTGCTCAAGCTTCTATAATGGAGCACTCTGCATGCAAAGTGGCACATCTGAGTGGAGGGAAATTTAGACTCTCCAGCTTTCATATCTTTTCATTGGGTTTTTGAAATACAGGTTGACCATTTAGTAGGCGGATGTTTTGATGGTCACACATTCTGAATAAATGTAACAATTCTGGTGCATTATCATGCTTTGAGTGCAAAGTGGGATAAAATATCCCATTTCAACTTCAGTAACTCTTCAAAGGAAGTAAGAGCAGTTAAGGGAAAATTTGATATAGGAAGCAAGAAGAAATCAAACAGGAAGGAGCTGGTTTAATGGCTGGAAGTCCCAGCTTGCTGCAGGTCATTGATCTTCCTTTGCATGTGATGTCAGGTCTTTTTCACCTCCTTTTTTTTGCTGTGGTTTTCCAGGCAGGAGATAAACATTACCATCCCAGCTGTGCGAGATGCAGCAGGTGCAACCAGATGTTCACAGAGGGAGAAGAGATGTATCTGCAAGGTGAGTGGACCTAGATTTACTTTGGTGGTCCCTTGGGTAAATTGTAGGAGCATACTAATATTAGGAATGAAATAGAAGATGGTACTGAAAGCCTGAATGTACACCTGACACATCTGGATTTCTGGTAGAAGTTGCAACACATTTGCCATGGTTATGATTGTCCTATTAATTTATTAGTTTCACTGATTTATCTGAGTTTGTCCATCTCCAAGATGGAATTTTTATACAACAAGCCACTTGTATCCATAGACATGTATCCACAATTCTGATTTTGTTCTCCCCCTTTAATGTACAATGGATTGAATAAAAAACAAACAAACACTTTTTATGAAATTTATGTAAAAGATTACGGAAACAATCTTTTGAGATTATTTGATTTGTCTTTATTGATTTAGTTGTCTTGTCGGAACAAGCTGTCTCCATATTCTATTAGTCTAGCTGTTAATTAATAGTTCCTCTTCATATCCCAATCGACTTTGTGCAACACTTGCACTTTAAAAACCCCACAGCATGATACTGCCACTACCCTTGTGTAGCAGCTGGTGCAGAGTTCCCAGGTTTAAGAGCCTCACAGACAAATTTAAGCTGGTTTACGTTATCTTTTTCCTTGATTTCCATTTTTCATCCAACCCAGCACAACATGGTTTTACTTTTGTTTGAAAAGCTTGTGCATTTTATTTCTAGATATCTGAGAGTGTTTTTAATCCAAGCTAATTCCCACTTTTTAAGTCAGTATATCAGTGAAGTGAGATACTTTAACCAAATTACATAACTAGGACTACATATGGAGCTAAAATATGAGCAGGGCTCAAATATTTGCTTTCCGTGTTGCTTCTCAGGCTCAACCGTGTGGCATCCTGGCTGCAAGAACACCACCAGAACAGAGGAGAGACACAGGGAGCGGGTAGGAGTATGAGAATTATTCATGTAATCCCCTATCACCTAAGCACCTTTTTCTTTAGACATCCTGATCTCATTTGACAGGAAAAGATAGAGATTATGAATATGTAACAAGTACAATGTCTCTTATTGTCCCCTGACTGGACTTCAACCCTTTGGTTAAAAAAATTTGCCTGCTTAGGCACTGCTGAGGCTTCTGCGTGGTTGTTTGTTCATATTTACATGTGATGATGTGTGTGAGCTGTGTGTCAGACAGAAGAGGCAAAAACCCCAGTGTGATGTCCTGTGCACCCCCTCCTCCTTTCTCCACAGCTGTTGCCTCCGTCCCTCTTATTCCTCCAACAAACAGAAAGGCAGGTACTGTAATCAGTATTGGCTATCAGATGGCATCACTCAGTAAATCCACCATATACATCAAGGACCTAAATCACTACATGCTGCCGCCTGCTGGAGACAGCCTGCAGTGTCCTCTCCTTGTATCAACCTTTACACACTTCGCTCAGTATGCTGCATGATGAGACAAAGAGGCAAACATTCACTGGAGAAGAAAACGTCCAACTCTTGAGTAGCTTTGTGCAAAAATAAACATTTAACACCAAAAAACCTGCTGCTGTCATTCGGCTTGCTCATCTCTTAGCATGAGGCTCTAAATATTGTGAAGCTGCAAAGCTGAATCATTCATTCACTTTGCAAATCTGCAAATGAATGACTGAATCATGACATGTATGTATGATGCAGTGTAGGTTACTTTAAAATGTAAGGAGATTAGTAAAATACCAATGAGTATTTCAGGGAAATATGCACAAATATCTTCAACCAAACAGATAAAAATATAATCAGAAAGGTAAGATTACATTAAATTGATGGAATCAGTAGCATTGAAATTAATTGTTTTAGTCATATCATGGCCGATCAAGTCATAAGGACGATTACTGACTTAAGAGTTAGGAAGACAGTCACTACTACCCTCCATATTGTAGGTAAGTTACAAAAGGTCATTTTCAAAGAGGTGTTGGGTGAACAGACTGCTGTATACAGGTATAGTTTGAAGAATGAATTAGATGGAAAAAGTCTGGTTTGAAAAAGGTACTCAAACAACAGAAATAACTGCATCCTTGTGAGTTGTAAAGTTTAGGCACTTTAAAATTAGGGTGGAGATTTACGAAGGCACTTATGAATCAGGGACAAAGACCGAAGCAATTACCTGGAGAAAAAGAGCTGGGCTCTTAGTCAATGCTCCAAAATCCTCTTTTAAATTAGAATAATTTTGCATTCAATTAGGAAACAAAGCACCCTGAGTATGAAGGGTGAAAAGAGACACAGAATCCCAGTCTTTACCTCTGGTGGAAAGTTCCCATAATCAGTGACCATCAGGGGAGCAATGACATGTTGTTGATCAAGTCTAAAATCAGCTCTGCTGTCGACTGTATGGGGAAAATGAGAGCATGTCATGCTTCCCTCTACTGACAGGCTTTATCAAAATGCTAATTTAATTTTCCATTACATCTTGGTACCTTACACCACTTCCGAAAGTACCAACACCTGCTTAAATAAACAATTACACTACCATAAGATTGGCATGACTGTAAGTCTGCAGAAAATGCATGAGCTCGTGTTAAGAGACAGATGAGAGACACCAAATCAACAGTCCAAGCAACCTCAGCAGAACCACAGCATAGCCTTTATTTTTACTATATAAACAGCAAGCTGCAGATATTGCTTTCCACATTTTTCCTTCGGCCAAATTTTCCGATGCACATTTCTGGGCTCAGCTTTGTGTGACCAGTCAGCTTGGTCAGCAGTTTTCTTCACAATTGTGTCGACCATAGCATGAACATGACTAAACATTTCCCTGTTGTTGGTTTCATTGGTCTAAAGTAATATTCATCCTTTGAGTTTTCATAAGCGGTAAGCCATAACCACCATATTTAACAGCAATAAATGCTTGAAGTTTGTTGGACATCTATGAGTTTGACTTTTTTCTTGATTTACTCAAATATATATTCAAAATATTTTAACTTATTGAAAGGTAGCCACCAAGGTAGCCAGATTTCTGTTACAGGTTGCTTATATTGACATAAAGACTTTCGATTTGTAATTTAATGGCTACTCGTGTCTTTGTATTTCATAGCCTACGAGGTCATCATCTGAAAGCATTTGTTCCAGACCAGGTTCAAGCATACCTGGCTCCCCAGGTCACACCATCTATGTAAGAAACTCCCGCTAAGCTGTCTAAATATAATGGTTTTATAGTTTTAAAACTGATAATTGTGTGTTTGAATGTCTTTTCTGTATTTCTCTCTCCAGGCAAAAGTAGACAATGAGATTCTTGACTACAGAGATCTAGCTGCCATTCCAAAAGTCAAAGCCATTTATGACATTGAACGTCCCGATCTTATTACATATGAACCGATGTACACAACCTCCCTGGATGAAAAAGAGGAGAGGAGAGAGTGTATAGGAGAGGTAAATATACAGGGGCCATTCTTCTTCTTTTGATGATTGTACACCAAAGTTAACAGCATGCATGGTAAAGATGAGTAAACAGCCTTGAGATTTATTTTCTAATAGGGAATTTTCTAGTAACATTAAATCCGATTAAAATGGCTTAGATATATCAGTTCCTTGACCCACTTTTTTCAGTTGCTTTTAAAAAGGGGGTGAAACTAAAAACAAACACATCTCATAGACATGGGGCTAATTTCTGTTGATCTTTATTAATCACTTATGGAAGATGCCTATTTAGCCTCGCTTTCAGCAGGACCATTACCTAAAGATGTTGAGATGGAAACTTGCCTGTGTCTACAATCAGAAAAAATAATTTAAGCCTTCGAAATAACTGGAACTTTAAAAAACCAGGCTGAAAAGGCCAAACGTTCACCTTGCCAGTACAATCTTATACAGCTGCAGCTTAAAGCCCTTCTTATGGTCACTAATTCTGCATTATCTTCTTGTTGTGATATTGAATTAGTTAGGTAGGTAGGACAGAAATGCTTGTACACAAACATTTTTTGTCCTACCATCGCAAACATAAATATCTGACGTTTGCTAAACTATGCAGGAAGTTTAACTGGAAGTGTCCAGGTGGGCCGAGAACCAAAGGAAGAACATAAGGAAATGCAAATCTGGTCAATTTTAGGTAGAGTGGAGAAATCTGTGATGCTTCAACCTTTTTTTGCTACAAAAGATCACGAGAACCTATTTAGAGGGCTTATCATAATAACCTTTTTGAAATACCTGGATGTTATTAATGACATAAATGAGACGACATTGTGTAATTCAACAAGTCCCTCTTAAAAAATCTTATTCTCAATTATGTCTTTATCTGGTTAAGTAAAAGTAATTATTATTATTATTCAGCAAGATATTGACCTAAAAGATATGGAAAATAGCTTACCTGACACAGACTACAGTTTGTTCCATTACTATTATAGTAATCATTTAGTCTTTGCAGGGCAGCAGGGGGTCTGGAACCTTGCTGCAGAAAGATAGCATTTATCTATCCATCCAATTATAAAAAGACAGGCAACAGTGCATGAAAGCATTGATACTTAAATACATAGTATGAATAGTATGAAGCCTGAGTATCCAAAGAAACCTTTGCATTTATTAGGACATGCCAATCCCATGCAGACAGACATGGTTCTGGGTTTCAAACATAGGTGCTTCTTGCTGCATGAGAGCAGTGCTACGGATCGAACCTTTAGTCTTAAGACTGAAGAGGTTCTGCTTCTGGACAAGCAAAAGATAAAGCTTAATGCATCGTCTAGGCTCAGATATCAACACAGGTAATGGTGAAAGGTGGTACAAAATGTGAGCACCAGGGAGGCAATAAGGACTACTGGAGGTTGCTTTAAGGCGTTTTACACATCTTTACTCAGGATGCCGATAATTGTAGTCTTTAACCAAACTGAGCATTATCAGAAACAGCTTTGAAGTTATCATATTTTTCTTCTAAAAATAACTGTTCTGTTTTTTCTAGCTCCACTCCGCCAGAAGGGAGCGTTCCCCGATGCCTGATGATAAGGTAGGATGCATCCCATCGAACCGAATTAAACTGTCTAAATCATATTTCAGTGTTTAATAATTGGTAAAAAATATATAATAAAATAGCAAACACAACAAAACCAAAAAAGACAAAGAAGTGTGATTAAAAAACATTGATTGTTTTATTTTTCTAGCCCTCACGAAACATGTCGCCGACCCCGTCAGCTGAGGTGAGCCAATGTTTTCCATTCGTTGAGCGCAGAAAATAAAACAGGTTGTCGCTGAAACATTGACCGATCTGTGCCTGTGTGACAGGGTTTTTACGACAGGAGGGACCGCATTCTCCAAAGATCCACCAGTCAGGGCTCCATAGGGTCCCCGGTTTATAATCGCCATGGTTACACTCCAACCCTATCACGGTCACCGCAGCATTTTCACAGACCTGGTGGGTACTGGAGGAGACTACCATGTCAATTTATATTCTTAGGTGTTTTTAAAGTGAGGTATTTCAAGCTCATTTTTATGTTATCTTTCTAGAACAGGAATGATGGTTCCCGTTCTGATTGTAATCTGTTAAGGAGGGAGTTCAGAAATGGTGGTCAAACATGTTTCAGTTCAGAATGTCATTACATGTTCTCCATTGGATAGCTGGGAAATTTGCTGAGTTTAGGTCTGTTTTAGATCTATTTCTGAGCTTTCTTAAAAAAAAAAAAAAAAAAAAAAACTAATATAGTATTATTTTCTTAGCTCAGTCTTTAAATAGCATTACGTAGAATTACTTTGGGTTATGCTTAATTCCCCTTATTTTTGTGGACTAAATATGTTAGAATCAGTTTTTTTACTTTTGTTGGTTTTTAAAATTTAAAGTTTGTTGCTCATCTCGCCTCTTTAAGTATACATAGGAGTAAATAACTAATGATAAACTTTATCAAGATGATTTTGTCTGACAATCTAAATACTTAACCGTCCAAACAGCCTGAATGTTTAAATATTTCCTCTCCACTTAAGAATCTCTATTATAAATTTGAAGTGCATTAAATAATCAAGCATCAATTAAGGTTTATTTCCGTTTTAATCAAGCTAATATCCACTCTGTCATGTTCTATGACTTAATATAATTTCTATGCTGATAGTTCACTCTGGTTGCATAAAAAGGCTTTCCAATTAAATACAAGCACTTCATTTTTGGTTCATTTGTTAGTTTAAAGAATTTGCCATATCAAGAACAAGTGATTGGATGTACAAAACTGCACATGCATGTGATAAATAAACAAGGAAATAAATTCCCCAGAGGAGGAGTGGAAAGAAAGAGGAAAAAAATTTAAATGAAGTGTAAAAAAAATAGCAAATTAAGTTTGATTCCAAGAAAACTAGTAGTGCTCGGAATACACTAGCTTTGGATTTCATTGAAGTGGGAGCTTAAGTTGCGTAAGCACTGCCAACAGATGGTGACGGCGTACACAGAGTTTATGTTTTCTTTTTAGCCTATGCTTAGATTTTAAGGCTGAAAAAGAACTGAGTAAAAACTATCAGGATTAAGGCTTGGTGTATATTTCTTTATTTTAACTTGAACAAATGCTTTTTAAAAAATTTTTTTATCATTTATATTGTCATTGTATTTAAGCATTCCCCTTTAATAAATTACTATTAACTTAAAAAAAAAAAAAAGTCAAGTAAATTAACTAATGTATCACCTGTTCTACAGCTCCTACTACATTCTAGATATTCCAAAATATATCTTTATTCTAGTGAAGTCTAACTTTTATAAACGTCCTGGGAGTCTTAATGAAATTGGCTCCTTCGCCCTGAATCCTAATACCAAGAAGCATCAGAATACCAAAGATTGATTAGGAGAAGTAAGTTTCTTAAAAGGGGTTTCTATGGCTGAGAAACCATCAAGAATATTTTTAGAAGAATTATCAAAAGCAATTAAATGTATTTTAAAGTTTTGTTTGTTCTCTACATACCAAAAAGACCAAATATTTGTCCTGATATAAATATGCCTTAGAAACATTTTGGATGCACAAATTATGGTCATTTTACTGATAATCTATTGTTAGAAAGAGACTAATAATTTATCTGCATTGTTACCAAAATACCAAAGTAGCCAGAGGAAAAACACTGAGTAATAGTGAAATTACGAGTCACAGTATGGAATGTTTTATGAAGGAAAAACAGATTTGGATTGTGGTGAAATGGAGACAATTTGCTTTGAAGTGATGAAACAAGCTGAAAAGGGGACAAAATGACCAAGTGCCTTTAAATATTTATGCTAATTCTTTTCTCTGAATTCTTACCTTACATTCTGGGTGTCTTTAATTTTTCCTTCATTTGTATTTCCTCCCTTTCCTTTGGCCCACCTACCACCTCACCATTTTACCTCCTCCTCACATTGTCCACTTCTCCTGCCTGGTTCTGGGGCTCCTGTCCCACATCTTACCCTCCTCCCTCCTTGCAGAAGCTCTGACAGGCATGCAGAAGCTCTGCTCCTCCCTGTGCAGTAACAGTGTGGGCTCCAGAAATAGTGATTCTCGCCCCACCTCCCCTTTCAGACACCACTTCCTCCCCCATAGCCAAGGTAAGGGTATATGAGCCACATGGTATATGAAGCCCAGCTTTGAAACAACCCATCATTGCCATTGACCATCAGATGGACACCCCACATCAATATGTCATCTGTCATCCCGGATCTATCACCATATCCTGCTAGAACCACTACTATTGTTTGTTTAGGGGAGGTCTTGCAGCCAAGCCCTTACATTTTCACCAGCATGCACCAGTTCTGCTGAGTAAAGTAGTTGCCAGGCTCTTTGGGTTCGTGTTTAGTCACTTTGCATACATTATGTAGATCTCTGCAAAACGAAAGCCATCTCCAATGTCTCAATATACAATTGGATAGCACAAAATTCCCTGTCATCCAGGTCATAGTCATTCCAAAGAAGTTAAAAAAAAAGTAAAAAATCAAACCACAGGACTTTGTTTTCCAAGTTTGAAGCCCAATCGAGAAAGTTTCCTGGACGGGAAGCGAAACGTCTTTAAACTTGGAAAACAAAGTCCAGTGGTTTGTTTTTTAATCTTTTTAAACTTTTTTGGATCCACTAAATTTGAACGTAAAGCACAAAGAGCGAGAAAGTGTATTTTCACAAAGCCTATTCATCAATTCTGACTAAGTTTGAATTTTTCTGCAACAAAGAAAATGTAAAAGAATATTCTGTTGTGAGGAATGGGCTTCCTGAATGATTACTCCTGTTATTAACCCACATCATTCATCATCCCCTGAGAATTTTACCTTTCTAAGCCTGGTCTGCATCTGTTCAGCCCCACTGGCTGGACTTTCCAGACTGTGTCCTATTCATTCAACATCCCACAGACCCAGTCCGATCCGCCCCTGTGTGTCGCCCATTTCAGACATTAGTGAACCTGCTCATGTTCTGTTCTTGGTTCTTCTTACTGGAGGCCCTGACCCACCGAGTGGCCGGAGTTCCCCTCTGCCGCTCAGGCCTGACGGCCGGCCAGTCACCCCGCCTCTCTCTCAGACCCCTAAACATTTCCACGTCCCAGGTAGGAGCTGGAGCGCATCCTGTCACTGCTCATCCTGTTGGTTCTCTCTCTTCATGTTAATATTTGGTTGTTATTTTAATTGGTTGGCTTGTTTCTTTCTGTATCTCTATAAACCATAAAGGATTATTTTAACCTTTGACTTTTACAGCTATATTAACTTGCTATATAGTGCTGTGTTTTCCCCAAACATATTTGTTTTGTTTTTCTTTTATTGTCATTGTTAAAAGTATCAAATAATTTAATCATTTTGATATCAAAGATAACCTAAGTGAATACAAAAAGAATGTATTCAAAATAATTATTTCCTTGATCAGGAGGAAAAATCAATGAATCCATTTGTTACAATCAGTCAAACTTGAGTGTATGTTGTTGAATACACTCAAGTGATGTGTAGGTCTATGATACAAGAAATGAAAAACAATTAAATCAATAAAATTCTAAATTATTAAAGCTGCTAGCAGCATTGGAAAAATCACTGCAGCTACAGTGAAAATGGGAACTTGGACCACTGCCCCCATGTCTCTGTTAAACTCGCTCCGGTTGAAACGTTTAAAATTTGGCCAAAATCTGAGAATTCTGAAAAAACGTTTTAATAACTTCATGTTCTAATTGCACAGGGCCAAAGTTATTTGATACGTTTAACATATACATAATAAAGCTAATATAATTAAAGTACTTTAAAAACAATAAAAGCCAAAAATCGATCAAAAAGCTATTGTTAAAACAATCCAGATGATCCAGCTCAACAGATTAGACAAAACCACAAACACACTTTGTTTTTCAAGCCGTTTATCCAAAAAGTTTGCTTTTTGGCAAAGCACCATAAATTATAATTATAAAAGAAAAAGAAAAAGATTTCCCCACTCAGGAATGGTCTAGTTAAAGTCTGCATTTAAACTTAATTTTACCAGTTGAAAACCCATTTTTGTATTTACTCAGGTTATCTTAGTCCAATACTGAGAAACGTCTCAAACATTTCAGAAAGATATAAAAAACAGAAACAATGACTCTGTAATGTTTTTAACATGACTCTGTCTCTTCATTTTGTTTTAAATGTAATTTTAAACAGATTGTTGATTTCTCTCTAAATGCTCTTCCTACGTTTATGTTTTTGCTTTCAGATCAGGGGAGCAACATCTACAGAAAACCACCCATCTACAAACTTCACGGTAACGTTTCTTTTACTTCAGGGTCACTTTGAAAGATAATAAAGAAGTGGAAAAAATCAAGGCACTCCTATAATGAGGGATTATTGAAACAAAAACATTTATAAATGAGAAATCCCCATCCTAGTATATAGTATTTAGTAGTATATGAAATGCAAAAAATTTAAAATATGAAATATTTTAAATAGAATAAACAATTTTGTTGGGTGTTCTGAGAAAAGAAAAATAACTAAACCCAGTTTTCTCAGTGTGTTCATCGTCACCTTCAGTGTCAGTGTTATGTTTGAAGTCTGTCTCTAACTCTTTTCTGTCAGTAGTTTGCTTCTAAACTACACTTCGTCCATCGCAACAAGTCCTGCTACTGGTGTGATTGAGCGCCTGATGAGACAATGTGCAAAACACTTGCTTTGTTACAACTTTAGGCGATAATTAAAGCTTCTTCTAGAGCGCTTTCCTTCACCCTCAGCAAAAAGTAGATTTACAGATTCAGTTCATGCAGGTTAAAGCTGAATGAATTTATTATCTTAGTTCTTCGGCTAAAGATACAGTAACAAATTTTCATGCATAATCTCAAGCTGTTCCTATCTGTAAGGTTATCTTATAATGCAGCCTTTAATATATGCATTTTCTGCTTGTGATCCAATTCATGTAGTTTCCTTTTTTAAATGTCATAAGTTAAAAACTTTATTATGTAATTGGAGCAACAATATTTTTACAATTTCTTATATGATTTAGAGATGAGGTCTGAACTAATATTTGGTTGACTTGTGTGTTTGATGGTCAGAGAGAAGCTAGAAGTTTTCCTCCCTGCTGCAGGCTCAACAAGAACAAACTTATTTAAATTAATTCATTTGATGGTTTAAAGCTAAATAAATTTTAAGTTTTTCTAGTCTGTTCTGGATGATTCTGGTGCTAAGGTATTTCCTTGTGGCTAAGACTATGACCTAGACACTGATAGTTAAGTTCCCATGGTTACCAACCTAGATTTGGCTGCTGTAGCTCATCAAAGCAAGTCTGGTGAGGACATCATCAGATCGGCCACCTTCCCTGCTGCCCATGCTCCCTCCCTGGATGACAGCTCCCTGAGTGAGGGCGACTGTTGGCCCCACTCTCTCGCTGTTTTAGGTACAGTAGACTCCTGCTGGGCGTGTTCGCACTGCCACCTCCTGGTAGTTAAACACGCCGCTCACCCAGACCCAGCTCTGCTTATTTTCTGCCCCCAGCTTACCTGCTTTTGCTGCTTTCTCCCAATTATAAACTGCTATCTATACATCAAACTTTGCACTTACATTTTGCTTGCGCTGAACTAAGGTGTGGGTGGTTTCTGTTGCTGTCATTTTATTTTCTGCTTCAGGAAATCTTCCTTCATGCTTTAGCCTTGCACAAAAGCATTACAGATGACCTGGACAGAGATAACTGAGACTGACTTCAAACTTTTGTCTGTCTGTCTTACATTTTGTGTATTGAACCTAAAACTTATAAACAACTGTCATGTCTGTGCATCCAAATATTCCAAGGAGTCTCTGTGTTTGTCCGTCTCGTCAGCTCTGTCTCAGACTTGTTTACACCATCCACCTGTTAATCATTTAATCTGTATTTATATCTGCTTCACAGTAAGCCATATTGTTTTTATTTTTTCTTCGCTCCCAATCCTACAAACAGTTCTGGTGAGAAGTTCACATCCTCTCATCATGGGTGTCATAACAATTCCAGCATTTTAAGTATTTTTAAATTCAGACTGAATCAGTTACAAAACAACCTTGATGATGCTTAAAAGCAGGATGTAGGTGTTTATTTATTTTGTTTATTTTGTGCCATCTTCAGTGGCCATTAACACTCTTCTGGGATGTCTCTGGGTGAATATCTGACTGCTGTTTTTGACAGGACTGGTAGAGTTTATTTAACCATGATGGTGCCAGCTATTAGGCATAGTTTACTTATTTAAAATAAGGTTGAGGTAAGAACCTGCTTTATCCATGCAATAATCCATTTTTTGGAGCATGCTTGGGACCCTTGTCTTGCTGGAAACTACCTGCAGTTTCAAGGTATCAAACAGTCTGATCCAAAGAGCCATGCTCAGATGAAAAGGGAATTGGTGTAATGTTCTTGAACTACACGGGAATCATCAATACTCAGCCCTGCCATTAACAGGAACCCTCTGGAACATGTCGCTGTGCTAACCAAGGGGCAGGTGCTGAATCCTGTCGAATTGCCGCTTCTTTGGTTCGGCTTTCTTATTCACGTTGAAATGGCTCTCTTCTGAGGTTTCCAGTTTTGTGTTTTACAGTTTAATTGTCTAAGTTTGTTTTGTATCTGGTAAATCAGTCTTAAATCCAGAGTCTTGAATTATTCTAAGTATGTGAATTGTTCTGGGCGTGTTTCTCTATATTGCCCAGTCTGGTTTGCATTTCGTTCTTTTATTGTCCCCAGTATCCCTTTTAGCAAATCTGCAATAGTAAATTTACAAAAATCGATGGATAACATCTGTACAACAATCCTTCTGGTTTCCTGGCATACTGCTGTGCAGTTCTTTAAACTTTATTATGTTCCTTGTCAGTAAGATAAGTAGTAGTTTTCCTCTTTAAATCAAACTGAAAGACCATTTTCCTTAACCATATTTAGGTCAGACTCCACCAAAACATAACCTTACTGCACCAAACTCCTCAAGAGATATTCATGCAAGGTAAAGTATCCAGCTCCACATGGACAGCAAAAAAGCCCTTAAGGAAAACATCTAATGGTCAGACGACATGAGAGAGAATACTGAAAATACTGTCCTATCTGTCAAGCAAGGTAGTGGTAGCATCCAGCACTGGGGCTGATTTGCAAAAGCATATTAGATAGTGAAAGGCTACCTCAATAAATGTTTAATTTAAAAGCTAAAATGCTAAAACTTGGAAATAACTGGATGTTTTAACTGGACAAGGATCCCAAACACACAATAAAAGTTCACGGCAGGCTAACGTCAAGCTTCTTGAATGGCTTTGACATTAAAATAAGTGACTGCTTTTGTTTGGTTGGGATGGTTCTACCCTGGAAAAAACCCAAAATGAATGTGCCTTGATGAGTTGATGTGAACTTTTCTTTGGAAATGTCTGTAATGCATGGGTTCCTTTAAGGTCACAATTATTGTGTGCTTTTTTAAAATAACTTTTCTTGGTGCCTGCAGGTTCAGAAGGCAGGAGGAAATCTAGAGAAGAGGAGGAGGAAGAAGCTTTGAAAAGAAAGCAAATTCAAGAAGAACATCTTAGTAAGGTTGGTGAGATAGCATTCACGTCCTGTTACTTTAAATACTGTGCAGCTGTTAACTTTATCCAGAGAAAATCGGTGTTAGATCTTTGTTTGACGTTTTACCTGCTGTATTTGTGCAGATTCAGTCTGGTTTGGGTAAGCTCATTCTGAAAGAGGAGATGGAGAAGGAGCAGATCAGGGAGCGGCACGCACGCAGCCTCTCTGCTCAACGATACGAACCCAAAATGAACAACTGTGATGCAGGTAGCTGGGAACAGCTCTCTAAGCTGCTTTACTCTTGATTTTTCAGCAATGTACCTTAACACAAAATTTTAAAGGCAAATGTATGAGTTTTTTTTTAGAGTAGAATGCCTGAGTTATAAACATTTTAAATCAGTGTTTCAAATTTATTTTAAATGCACTGTTATTAAATATGTTTCAGATCCAACATCTCCAACCAAGACCAACTCTCTGCCTGGTTATGGACGGAATGGTTTGCATCGGGTAAGATAAGATTGCTGCTAAGTCTTTCATACAAGAACCCACCTAGATGATTTACTCCACTTTTAAAAATCTTCTAACTGGATTATTGAGCTGCATCAGGAGATGCAATGCAAAATTTTTCCCATTTTTTTCCATGACAACCTATTTTTATGTATTTAATTATTTATTATGCAGCAGACCAACACAATTCAAGTGCTTATTGGAAAGTAGATGGAAAATTATTCATATTTTCAATTCTTTTTTTTTTTTTGTTAAAATCAAACCAAATTGGTTTTGGTTGCAATGACAGCCAGAGGTCTTTTGAAACAACTCACCACCAGCTTCTACAAATATTTACCTATTCTGGACTGGATCATTAAGGATTTAAGACATTAGGTTCATTTTTTGTAGAAAATATTCACCCAGAAATATATATTTTTAACCTTATTTCCTTTATTTGCAATATGTGCAAATTTATTTTGATCATTTACTGTTTTCTGTCACATGTATCATATATTTTTCAAGTATATGCAGCTTCCCCTGTTTTTTTTCACTGTTTAAAAGTCTTTAGTTTAGTGATTTTTTTTTTATGCACCAGAGCTGCAGTACATTAATGTTCATTAGACTGTATAGATTCAAATTGAGTCATCGCTGACCCAACTTTTTGCAGTTGGGTCAGCGATGACTTCTTGCTGCCTAACTGGAACATTTTTGCTTGACTGGGACTAAAGACGGGTTGGTTTCCATTTTATGGTAATAGTTCGTTGTACAGACTGACTGCAATGATTACAAACTGACACAAAATTTTCCCCACTGGGCATTAAGGTCAAATCTTCTGCCTAGGTTGCTACTGGAACGTTTGGTGTTTATTGTAATATAAGACGAAGCTCAGACCTATAACATTGCTTTAAAGCTCTGTTTTCTGTTATTCAAGTGGGTGAGTCTATAAAGTATGCAACCTACAATGCAATCTACAAAATATAGACTAAGATGGGTTGGGATATGGATACAAATCAGTATATTCAGATTTATTTGGGATTTTCTTTAACATAAGAAAAGGTGCATGGAAACTTTTGCAATGTGAAACATGAACTGAAATCTTTTTTGGAAGTTCACAAGATGTTTATCTCTGTTTATTTCAGCCTCAGTCTACAGATTTCACACAGTACAACAGCTATGGAGACATGTGTGGTAGTGGAAGAGGTGAGCAGCTCAAACAGAGTATCGCCACAAATAAAAATGTTTCACCACAACTCTTTAATGTTAAAATCGGCTTGGAATATGTACATATACACAGACATGCTCTATGAAATAATTGATTTTCATGAAGGACAACAGTGCTATAGCTAAAAGTAGCCTTTCAGGGGACTCTACAGCAAACCATTAACTGTGAGTCTCATTCTCTGTCCCATTTTGTCCTGCAGAGTTTCAGGTATGTCCCTCATCTGCTTTTCTTCACATGGCATGCCTCCTCATCTTTGCATCATATGCTATGCTTTTGTCATTGGGTTGCCCTGAATGCACACCGCCCACTCCTGTTCCTTGCTTGCATCACACTCTGAATTTTTTTCATCTACAGGGCATATGCTGCTGTGGTTTTGAATAAATATGAGAAGCAAACACACATATGCCCAGTAGCTGAACAACTGTACCGTAAACGCAATGTACAACCATTGCCTCACGTCTTGTTCTGTGTTGTTTTTCAATGTGATGACTCAAGCTACATGTTAAAAGTATTTATTGAAATGAACTACGGAGAAAAAAAAGCAATCTGTAAATGACTGCCCATGTATAATAGGAATTAATATGCAATTGTTTTCAAGCTACTCGCTCCATCCACTAAAAACTGCACACAATTTCATGGGTGGATATATATTCATGCCATGATCCTTGCAGTCCCCTTCCACTATATTACATGTGTATATGTTCTGTTCTTTAGCACATTAAGGAGGGCCGTGCAGCACTTGCAAGGATGGACAGGGGAGTATCTATGCCTAATATGTTGGAACCGAAAGCAAGTATATTTTCCTTTTTGTACCAATTACAAATGAGTTATTAAAAATATTACAGAATGTCTGATCGATAGTTGAATATGAATGTTTATGACAAATTTAGAAAATAATGTACCTATCACAGGTACTTGTACTTTTTTTCACATTTTGTGCCATTACAGCAACAAACTGTGTATTTTGTTAGGATTTTATTCTGCAGTGCAACACAAAGTTGTACATAATTGTAAATTGGAGGGGAGGTTATACAGATTTTTGTCTCGTAGCCCTAAATAAACTAAGTTTAAATGGTAAATGGCCTGTAGTTATGTAGCTCTTTTTTAATTTGGGAGACCTGCACTACAAGGGGCGTTCAATAAGTAATGCCCTTGACCCACTTCCATTTGCAGGTGTAACTATTTATATCTCTATAGATTAAGTGGAACATTTCTTCTGTGAACTACTGGGGGTTTCTGATTAACAGGTGTTCGAACTGAGACAAGACGGAAATGGAGCCTGTTGAGTGTCGAGCAGTGATCTGGGTTTTGTATGGCCTTGTAATGCCATATGATGAGGCATCACAAGTTACTTTCATTTCTTCAGAAGTCTCCTTGGTTGTGCTTCCTTTCAAATATAAAAAAACAAATCACTGCTAGACATTCAACAGGCTCCATTTCAGACTTAACTCCATTCAAACACCTCTAAATCAGAAACCACAATTAGTTCAGAGCTATAAGTTGCCACTTAATGTATAGAGATACAAGCAATTACACATGCAAAATTTCAACTTGATCAAACAAATGGAAGTGCGTCAGGGGCATTACTTATTGAACACCCCTGTCATTCACCCATTCACACACTCACACGCTGATGGTGGCACGCTACATTGTAGCCGCAGCTGCCCTGGGGCCCACTGACAGAAGCGAGGCTGCCATACACTGGAAATTTTATGTACCGGTAACAATATAATCCCTCAAAAATACATTAAAGCTTGTTGTTGCAATGTTTTAGAATGTGAAAAAGTCCAACTGGTAGGGATACTTTTGCAAGCGAGTGTATTTAAGAGACAGTAAGTGTGCATAAAATGACATCAGTCAGGGTGGAGACAGTTGAGGTGTGAATATTTGAGAGAAAAATATTTGTTCAGTCAAAAAAGAAAGACTCACTTTAGCAGGGCTCCTGATTTAGCATGCCGCTTAAGGAGCTGCTGAGTCAATCAAGCGCTTACAGCATGCTGGCTTCTTCATGCTCATCTGCACATGGCTTTGACTCAAAGTGACTGGATACTGTATGCAACATACAGTGTAAAAATCCGGTCTGTCATCCAAACAACTCATATCACTTTATACTGTGTATGCAGTGTTACAGGACATTACCGTGTGGATATGAGTTGGTCAGGGGCTTCAGAGAGCTTTCAGTTGCTTATTTTGGACCATCTCAAGTGGGGTTAGGATTAGTCATTTTTTAATCTAATTACAAGCACCAGAGTTTTTCAAGACAATCATTCCTATGTGGATTTATTCGGCCTAGATAAAAAACATTAAATATGAATACATCTAAAAATATGGTCTGTTACATGAGTTTGAAGTCATTTTTCTCCCTCTTTATCTGAGCGTTTGCACGTTTAACCACTAAGAAAATAGTACACATCAAAGCACCTGCATTTCCCTTATATCCTCAACCAAGCAAACCCAGTCAGCCTCCTGTCACATACCTGCTATCCTGCCCTTTTTTACAGTCAGATTTATCCCAAAAGTACAAACTTGTAAGGTTTGTTTGTTTTTGTTTTTGGACTTAGCTCAATCTTTTTTTTTTTCTGTTTAATGATGCATGTCTCCCTCTGAAGGTGTATCCCTATGAATTGCTCATGATAACCAGTAGAGGGAGAGCTAAACTGCCAAGGGATGTGGACAGAACCAGACTGGAGGTATCCGATTTCCTCCCGATGCTCCTCAGTTAACGCTGCATTTTGAATTTTGTGTCAACACCCTTGTTACACAAACTTACATCTGTAGCTGAGAACATGCCGTACCAGTTGCTTCTCGTCATTTTGCTGCAAACCTTTTTTTACAGCTTTGATGCTAACTGAGAACTCCCTCACCCTTCCCCCTTCCTTTGTTTTTCTCCACCTTTGTTCTCAATTCTAGCGCCACTTAGCACCCGAAACGTTCTTTGAGATCTTTGGAATGGAGATCCAGGAGTTTGACAGGCTTCCACTGTGGAAACGTAACGACATGAAAAAGAAGGCCAAGCTCTTTTAGCTGCTTTATTTTTTTCTTTCCTAATTTATTAGCATGCATTACTCTGTACATACAACCAGATAGCCCACAGTTGTAATTTAGATATAGGGTTCTTGGTTATTTTCTTTTTCTTTTCTTCATACTGCTTGGCGCCACAAAATGAACTGATGTCGAGATGATGGACTTTTAACCCTGAATGGAAAGTTTTTCCATGTTCAAAAATGACAAAGAATGATGAAAAGGGTCCATTTTGTTTTGCTTCAATTGCACTTATTTTACCTCCTGCTTTGCTTCAAGTGAAAATCCTTCCTTAACGTTACTGCTCGTTTTTCCTTATATTTTGCTGTTGATTCCTGTGGAACTATGTAATCACAGTACACCATCAATGCACCATCACAAAAATCTCCTTGACTGTAGCTCGAATGTGTCAGCTTTTTTCTTATGCTTGGGCTGAAGCCGTTTTAGTCCAAAGTTTTCAAGAATCGGCTCAGTGAGTCTTTTGAAAATACACTAAGATGAGAGAAACCTGTGTGAAAACCGTTGGTAGCAACTGTTCGACTGGATCTACACTGAAATGAATCCTCCAAGAAACATATCACCAGTCTTCTTCCCTCCCCTGGCTGTTATGCACAGAAAATGTTTATCTGCATAGACAAATATGTCTCTTTTCTCAGGCTGTCGTAAACAAAGTTAGACTTTTTTCCCTTTACTGATATTGGAAATACAAATACTATATTTTAAGGCTGTTTCCGAGATAGAAAAAAAAAAAACATTCAAATAGATTCAACCCCCTATTTCAAGAAGCAACTGTATTTGAAAGTATTGTTTTATAATTAGAAAATAAAAACACTGCCATTTGTTGTATTGAAATCAAAGCCAATAAAGCTTTAAATTGCCGTGAACCAATCTACATTGACAGAGTCACTATCAGCCTCTTACCTGCTCAGCATTTTCTGATCCCACTTGATGGGGATGATTGGGTGGAAAGTGATCTTAGGACTAAATTCAAATTTTTTTTTTATGTTAGAAGTCTTCATTTAACTTTGTTGTGTTACATGATGTAAGGCAATCAGGCAATTGTGGTTTTTTTGCCCAGGAAAAAAAAAAAAAAGAAAAAGCTTATTTTGCAACGCTTTTGTGAACTTGTGAGGTGTTGATATGTTTTAATGTTTCTTTTTTTTTTGTTCTTTTCTGCTGTGAAGACAAAAAAAACTCTAATTCTATACGTTTACCTAAATTTCCACTCCATATTTAATCCTTTAGCTTTTCTAAACCACAGATTTCCTATTCTGTAATTCTCTAGGTCAGTCCTGTTTTTTTCTTGTGTTTTGTGACCTATTGGATCATTTTGTGTGTTTTGTTGGGAAAATGTGGACTTTGCCTGGCCGCTTCTTCTCAGGTGTTTGTGCTCAGTGACCTTTTAATTCAACAGAGAACCCAGTTTTAAACAGCAGGTTAGTTTGAAAAAAAAAAGGTAATTCAAAATCAATATTCACAAATTTATTCCCCTTGCCCTTTATATATATGTGGAATTGGGGGGTTGAAAAAAAGAGAAATGAACAAAGCTCAAAACATAACATCACCGCCCAAAATCAAGACATGTATGAAAATCCTAAATTGTGATTTATTAGTTCCTCAACTAAGAGTTTGGGTTTAAATGTCAACTTTCCTCTGCAGTGTTCAACTCTTGATGTCACACTTGTGAAAGCTGCTCAGAAATCTTTTGCAAAATTAACATTTTCACTGCTGTTTAAGTCAGAATATGGAGAAAGGTCCTTCAACAATATGGAACAGTGGAGTTTTCCACTAAAAGAGGAATATAGAAATATTAGAACATGAAGAAAATACTTCATTAATTAAAGTAGCATAATCTAATTATAAACAAATGTGCAGCTTGGAGGGAAAAATGTGGCTCAGTAGATAGTCTCTTGTAATCGGAAAGTTGTGGGTTTCATTCCAGCTTCTCACTGCTGAATTACACTGACCACAATGACCACTTAAACCCAAGCACCCTCCTGATCTCATTGTTTCTAAATGTGACAGGGTGGATGTAGCGACAGTGGAAAGTGCTTTGGATGGTTGGTATATATAGAAAGGTGCTATTCCAAACTCAGTCCATTAAAAATAGCATTCAAATCTACAGTTTAAGGTAATCTATCCCAAATACTATCTGAATGCACCCCTTAATTTTCCCCAAATTTTGTTAGATTTTTTTTTTAGCATAGCTTTAAGCATAATTTTCAGTTTAACAGTTTTTTTTTTTTTAATTGAGTAAAAAACTAGAAAAGGTATACTAAGTTACCTAAAAATTATTTTAGGTGCATTTTATTTCCATCTTTCTGATGCGTCTATCATTTAGCTCAAGTCCTGGTGTGGTAAGGTCATCTAATTTAACATGATTTGGAAATGAACACACTTATTTTTACATGGTCTTACAGTTGATGGCACATATCAGATCAGAAACTAGGAAATTAAATCAAAGGATGAAATAAAAACAATGATCTCTACACCTTCTAGACCAGACCGTGTCTCAGCAAAATACTTGGAATATACAGTATACAAACACATACGCTTGCCTGACCAAATTTAACAGACAGGAAAGAAAGCTCATGTTCAGAGGGACGTTTTAGCTTAAACTATTCCTAAATCCAATTTAGCATGTTAGAAAAATATAAATTGCTGATCTACTCAGAGATATGCCAGATTGTATCTGAATTTGAAATGAGTTTAAGAAAAACCCAAAATTATGAATGTTAATCTTGTAAAGATAGATGAGGAAGACTTGAAGCTCTGATCAATGCCAAAGATGCTTAAATATATACATAAACCATTGGTTTAAACATGTCAAGCACATAATATATATCAGCTGAAAAGCTACTTTTACATTTTCTTTTTGCAGTATTATAAGGACATCTTTAAGAATAAAAAAGACTTGGAATTATATTTAAAAATAGAGTAAAACAAATAAGGATCTTAAAATTTTCTGGTGGTGCTGTATAAGATCTTCAAGACCTAATAATGCATATCATATTACATTTTAATAATTAGCATTTTTACATCAGCTGGAACAATTGTTAAATAAAAAAAGTAAAAGGAGAAATAGAAACCTCTTACAGGGTGAGAAAAAAGTAACCCAGATTTCATCCTTTCATTAACAAAGTTTAATAAAACCTAATGCATTGTTTTGCTGTTCGTAGAGTTAGGAATCCTGCAGAAAAACCTAGAGAAAGATACAAAAATGTCAAACTTTAACTTCCATGTAAAAGTACTCTTGGTTAAATATGGTCCACATTTTTCCAAATTTATCCGGGCTTTAATTAGAACTTTTTACGTGTTTGACTACAGAGCTGAGATGTGAGGAATACATGTCAGCTCATACCCAGAAAGTACTGAACTTTAACACAAAGGTCTACTTTAAGCTTTTTCTGCTCTTGGGGCTCCTTCTCACAGCTGATTAGTGAGTACATCAAATACATGTACAACCTTTTTCCACAGGATGCGTTAGAAAGACACCACACTTCTTTGAAGAAGCAAAGAGTTGCTGTAAAACACAGACTGAAAGAACTGGCGGCACGTCAGTCAGAAATCACTGTGAGTTTACTTAAAAAAGGCCCTTTCTGCGGAAAAGAAATTTAGATTTCATCAATTTATCTGCTAATGTGGAAATCTTTTTTTTTTTTGGGTGATGTGGTAATATAATTTGATATTTCAATATGTATCCATTTAGAAAAAGTCTACAGCAATAAAAGACAGTGTATTGAGGAAATATCAGGAGATCCATGCCGTCCTGGAGGAGGACATGCGGATTACCTTGTCTCACCTGGAGATGGAGGAGAGGGCTGCTGTTTCTGCTTTGGATGCGTTCATGGAGAGAAACTGCACTCAAATACAGGAAATAGAGCAAGAATTGGCCAGAATCTCTTTAGCTCTGGAGCAAAGCAACACAGAACCTGATACAATGGTAAAAAAAAATAAAAATAAAAAATAAATCCAGAGTTTAAATGTTAAGAGAAGCAGCTCATAGCTAACTTAGATTTTCTGCTGTTCCTCAGTCATTCTTTTCATATCCTGAGCTGGACAACACAGAGATAGCAGAAAGGTACAGATAATATTAATGACTTTTAGAGTTGCATATGCTTTGCTAGGTATTCCTCCAACTCTCAAATTTGGATGTATTTTTATGGGATTTTATGTGAAAAGTTTAAAAAAAAAAAAATCTTTGAAATTTGGTGTGCGTTTAAATTTATCTTTCTGAGTCTAATACATGAACCAGCTTTGGTTACAATTCAAACTATTTGGGGAAATATTTATATGTACTTAGCACATCTACAGACTTTTTTTCTTTTTAGATTAGATTAGATTAGATTCAACTTTATTGTCATTGCACAGGTACAGGTACAAGGTATGAAATGCAGTTTAGGTCTAACTAAAAGTGCAATAGCAGCAAGTGCAGAATAAATAATGGTTCTATAAATACAGGACATGGGTTCTACTGAATAAGTATAGAGATGAATACCATTATATACAGAATCTTACTAATAGATGAATATAATATATAGTTAACTAGCGTTATAAACAAAATTTACAGCTGGGTATGTACTGAATATAATATATAGGTGGATATTACTATAAAAAGGGTTTTTACAGTTATGTACAATAGCATATATACAGATGGGTTTTGCCTAATAAGGTCAAACTCAGGTTAGAGGAAGAGCTACTATCCCTGTTTTACAGTGGTGATTGTTTGCAGGGTTATGATCAGTGGAAGTTTTTTCTGGTTTGTTTTGTGTTATTGTGAAACTTGCAAAAAAGATTGATTTTTGACTTTGATATTAGCAGGGAAATTGCAATGGATTATTTTTGCCACTTTTCCACAAAAGCTAGAATTAAATGGTGGATGACTTTTAGTTGGTGGTATGAGGTAAAATGCTCCTTATCCCTGATCTGTAAGCCATATTCTTGGTCTTAAGTCTGATTCTATAAGAGAACTGGTTGTGATTGATATCTATAGGGTTACTAAAGAAAAAAACGCGTTCTATCAAGTATAATTTTCCTACCAATTCAAAGGTAAGTCATGAAGTATTTTATAAGGAACCCAAAGCAGCGAGGGGCATGCCGTAGACCGGCTGAATGAAGCAAGGAGACATTTCAACAAATATGTTTAAACCTATGATGTTGATAGAACATCCAAAACGACACAGGAGATCATAGAGAAGTTTTCTGATAAGCCACGTGTGTCAACGTGAGGGTGGGGGTTTGTTGAGTACCCAAATGCAGGGATGAGGGAGACAGAGATGAGTTCTTGTAGGTTTAATGTAGTCAAACGGCAACAGAACAGGAGTGGTCAGGAGAAATCACACATGGTGAGCCAAGTAACAACAAGGAATTGGCACTGAAGAACTGCATGGGGAGAGTATACATGGGAGACGGAACAAAGACTGGGGTATCAGCTGATATGGAGCAGGTGTGGATAGAAGTGACTAGAAGGGAGCCAAGGGGAGACAGGCACAGCAGGGCAACAGAGAGTAACTAAAAACTGCTTAAATATGACACAAAAATGGAAAATACAGCAAAGATCAAACAAACCGAATTACATAGATAAAATTGAAAGTCCAAATAAGGGAGAACCACAACAACGTGAGCAGCATAAACATGTAACATCTGAGAGTAATTGACTAAATACACTGCTGCTGTTAGGGAGATACTAAAATGTTGACTGATTTACACATATGGAATACATAAATCTGCACAAATCTAAAAATAAAGAAACATGAATCAATAACACAAAATCCAATCCTATTTGGCCGAGGCACATAAAAATCCCCAAAAAATACATTTTAAGTTTGTGGTTGTGGGGTAATAAAATGTAAAAGTTTATGGCGGTATTTTTAAGCCACAATGCCTATAAGTAATACTTCATGCCGTTCCTTCCTCAGAGTGTCGGATGTTCTCAACCAATCAGATCCTAGCAGCGTGAGCCTCGATGAAGCTAAAGCTAGCCAGATCCTCACGCTCACCAATAACATGCTGCTCCTTGTCCGCTCACAGACTCCTTTAATGAAGAAACTCCTGAAAAGCTGTTAGTTCCCATTTTATTTACACATCAGTAAATCAGTGTATCCCTCTTTAGAATACCTTTAATAATAATAATAATAATATATTTATACTTATGTCCAGATTCCAGTGAGGTGCACCTGGATCCACAGACGGCCCACCCAAAGTTAATTATCTCCCCTAAAAGTGACAGCGTCTCCTACACAGACACATGGCAGAAACTCCCTGATCTACCAGGACGGTTCGACACCACCCTCAACGTCATCAGTCTCCAGGGGTTCCGCTTTGGTCACCATTACTGGGAGATAGATGTTACCGGAAAGACTTACTGGGAGCTTGGTGTTACCTACCCCTCCATTCCCCGCAAAGGAACCTCTGAGGACTGCTGGCTGGGCCGAGGAGCAGAGTCCTGGTGTGTGGAGTTCTTTGATGGGGAATACACAGCCTGGCATGGAGGGTTACCCCATCAGCTGCCCTTCTCTAAACGTTTTAGTCAGATTGGTGTTTTCTGCAGCTTTCCTGCAGGGCTGGTGACATTTCTTGAGGCAGAAAAAATGATGCCCCTATTTTCATTCTGTGCTGGAACCTTTTTGGATTGCCTCCACCTAGCCCTGTGTCCTGGTCATGACCATAATGGCACTAATTCAAGTCCTATTGTAATCTGTAATGAAACATCCCCTACTAGTGACCTGTAGCTGGATAACATTAGTAATAATGCTGACATAACAAAAACAAAAAAACTTTAAAACAACACAATAAATATGCTTACCACATATTTCATGATGATTTTCACTGAGCAATTTTGAAACTAGATTTATATGATGCCTGATATGGATCTGACTTTTAAAACTGCAGGTCTGAACAACATTGTTCAGGGTCACTGAGCTGAATGGGGCATGGATCTCATCTTCCAATATAGCACTTGAGCCAGCAAGCTGCAATATGTGCATTTGCTGCAAAAACAACAGACAAACAAACAAAAAAATTTATATATATACTGCAAAAAAACTAAAGGGTACACTCATATAACAGATCCAAGATCGGCATGAATAAAATATTCTCATTGAATACTTTGTTCTGTATGAAGTCAATGGAAATCAAATTTATTGGCCAATGGAGGCCTGGATTTGGAGTCACACATAAAATTAAATTAGAAAAACACCACAGGCTGATCCAACTTTGGTGTAATGTCCTTAAAACGGATCAAAATGAGGCACAGTATTGTTTGTGGCCCCCACTTAACTGTATGACCTCCACAAAACAACTGGGCATGCTCCTGATAAGGTGGTGGATGGTCTTCTGAGGAATCCCCCAGACCTAGACTAAAGCATCCGCCAACTCCTGGACAGTCTGTGGTGCAACGTGATGTTGGTGGTTTGATTAAGAATTATGTTCAACCACATATGCTCACTTGGATTCAGTTCTGGGTAACAGGCAGGCCAATCCATAGCTTTAATTCATTGATGCTACAGTAAGTGCTTACAAACTTCAGCCACATGAGGTTTAGCATTGCCCTGCATTAGGAGAGGCCCAGGGCCAAACACACCAGCATATTGTCTCAAGGGGTCTTAGGATCTCTTCACACTACCTAATGGCTGTCATGCTACCTCTTGCATTCTTTCATCCTACAGTAACTGCTTACAAACTCCAGCCACATGAAGTCTAGTATTGTCCTGCATTAGTAGAGGCCCAGGGCCAAACGCACCAGCATATTGTCTCAATGCATTTGTGGTTGAACATAATTCTACAACTACAATGGGAGTTGTAGAGTCTGCCTCATGCTACTATGAGTATGAAAGCACCACCAACATTCAAAATTTACCAAAACATTAGCTAGAAAGCAAAGGTACTGAGAAGTGGTCTGTGGTCCTCACATACAGACAAACTCCTTTATTGAGTGTGTCTTGCTAATCTTTAATAATTTTCACCTGTTGTCCATTCCATTTGTAAATGTTTACGTGTTTCTTATGTGTTCCCTTTATTTTTTTGAGCAGTGTTTGTACAGTATAGACATACTCTTGAGAAATAGATTAATTTTAAAAGGTTTATTGAACAATCACAAGGTAAATGTAAGAGTCATTCATTCTGGAGAAACTGGGAGGGAAACAAATGAAGATGGGGCCACAGAAATAGAAGCAGGGAAACAATGAATAATGGTTTTTATGACAGGAAAGTTTAGTGGAGGGATGACTTACCAGAGTTGATGTTAACTAGTCAGTCCAGGGGAGGTTCAGAACAATTTGGAAGACCAGTTTGTCATTGGTAGGGATCCAGAGGCAGTGACTGCCGGTGGAGATTCGGACAGCGTTGCTCCTTCATTTAACCAGTTATCAGTCTCTCTAGAGGTCCTCCTCAAGCACTTTCCCCCTGAGTGGCAGGTTGACTTCACCTGTTCCCCATCTAGCAGTGGACTATTTAAGGAGCCTGCTGCCAGCTCTCCAGTGCCTGTGTGTCAGTCTTTGTAGCCTAATGGTCCAGCGGTTCAAGCTCCTGAGAAACCTTCTGAGTTCTTCATAAATATACAAAATCAAGGTAAGGACTTTGGTGCTTTTCCCAGATGGCAGCACAGAGCATCTTTAAAGCCACTGTTCCGTTTAATCTCATTCGCTCTCCTCTATGCTCACATGGATCCCTTCGCTTCCACGACAAAATCTGTCAGTACCAAGACTCACAGAGTTTCCAGACCCAGCTCATCCTCCCCCCTAGCGGATAAACCAGAACCTCCAAGTAAGCTCTCTTTACAATTCAGATTTCTCTCAATTCAGTTCAACTCATCTAACTTTTCTGTCCATCTTTCAGAGACCCCTGCCATTCCTGTTCCTGTCATTTTGCAATATGCACTGCGGTCACTATAATAATTCTTTACCTAATAGTAAGGAAATAACTAAGACAAGAAAGCAGTATGCTTCCTGTTGGCAGTTAATTTAGCATACGGACCTCAGGATGTTCCCAGCCACCGCTAGGAGTTATACGGTACCACAATCCTTTGCGTGACGGGGCGTATAAGCACAGCATACTGTATGTCAGAGTGTTTAATAAAATGAATTAGTTCTTGACATGTACTCTGTTTGACACATGCAAATATGATCATATTTATATCTTTTTAGGTTTATGACAGAAAGGATTAAGCCATTTGTTTAACTTTTTTTTTTTTGTAGTTCTTTCCCTGAAGGGTGTAGTCCTAAATTGACAAGAATCATTCACCTGAATGTTTGTCACGTAATGACATCCGTAACACTGAAGGCTGTATTCACTAAAGAAATCCAGAGTTCCTTGTCTACCCC